GCAGTTTTCGAGGACGACGTATTGGAGACGCACACAAGACAACCTCGTCTGAAACTGCAAGGGTGAGCCTCTAAGGAGCCGTGTTGTAGTCATCCGTATCACTGCCAACCCTAAATTTCGTTTCCACACCGACCCACACACATTCACACACACAACTAATTCACACACACTGTCATTGTCAGCTACTCCTTCATCCATTTTTGGCTCCCCAGTTCAAGTCAACCCTCCATTCACTTTACAGCGGCGAGCTGTGAGTCTGTCCTTTCTCAGGTCCAACAGCCACCCGAGCCATGTGCACATTTGTCTGCATCCCACATGCATCCCAAACCCCAACCTTGAGCATTGGTCTCTTTCCATTTAGCTTTTGAATGCAAGTACTCCTCGTCTGGTGGGTGTTTGTCACGTATTATTGTCACATGCCAGAACCTCAGTCCGACGAGTCAGACGAGGTTGTCTTGTGTGCGTCTCCAATACGTCGTCCTCGAAAACTGCTGGTTCGAGGAAGTCGAGGCCGATTAGCTCATGTGGATTCTTAGTCTGCAGGTGGGACTGATTGGGTCACTTGAACGGAACGAGTCAGACTGAGGTTCTGGCTCTTTGAATTCACACAAACCGCCTTGGATGAACGCACATTCTGTCATTTCCGTCGTGACTCGTGGGCAATGAGTTGTGAATGAGTGATTGGTCATCTTCACAAAGTCATGACATTCGCAGGTCCAATCATATGCCCTCTTTTGTGCTTGGCACACGTTGTAGCCCTGCGGCGACAAGAAAGTGGACATTGGCAGGTCTGATTCAGCCCACTTGGGTCTGCTTTATTGCTGCAACTCTGCCGCGAATGACCGAAGCTGCCTTGAGACTGAAACTGATAATGATCTTTTAAAGGGTCGACCTCCAAACTGGCCTCTTCAAGTCTCCAGTCGATCCGTTGCTCATCGACAAGACAACTGTCGCCACCCCATTAGGAGTATTCAAGTGTCCGAGAATGTCTTTCACACCCTCCAGTGCTTGATGAATCATTCCACCATCTGCCTGGAAGCGTATTCATCAAGAGCGCCGAACTTGTTGTCACCAACCGCATCCTCATTCGACCTCGCTGGCCATCGCTTCAACGGCCTGAGCAGACGGCCGAGGCAAGAGAGCATGTAAAGCACAACCATTCTCGCCTTCCTCACACCTTCAATTCCTTGCATGTTTGCCTCGGCATGGGCTCCTCTACTCTCGGTTCATACAAGGCCCTGTTGCTCTCTTGAACCCATTCGACGACGTTGCTTCTTTCAACAGCCTCTCCAATCTTTCGCTTACTGCGCCGTCTTGGCTCGTTCGACGCTTCCCTTCATCCTATTTCATACCATCCACAATCGGCTGTCAATTATGTACTGTTTGGGAAACTCAGGTTTCTTACGAAAGTGTGTCTGGGGAAGAGATGCGGGGCAGTCCACGACGAATCCCCACTCGTTTTCATTCATCACATGATCGCCATCATCAGAGCTGGAACTCATTCTCGTCAGTGTCAAATTAACACTTGATCAAGAAGACTGTCTGGCTCTATCTCACCTCTTGTAAGTGCTCGTAACTATGGTCGACAACGTATAGGCACGGATACATGTAGAATGGTTTGGCTA